GGAGTGAGGGGGCTGGGATGCAGGGCTGCCACTGGGCTAGGAGGGTAGGGCTTCTATTGGGGACTGGCACAGGAGACCTGGCAGGATTGGGTGTAGTGGAGCTCTGAAAACAGGGACTGGCACTGAAGTGTTTGGAGCAGGGAGCTGGCACTTGGGAACTCTGAAGGCGAGTGGCTGGCACTGAGGAGGGCTGGATGCAGGGGATTCTAGGGTCAATGACTGGTGCTGTGGGGTAGTAGAGGGCTCTAGGGATTAGGGCTGGCACTGGGGGCTGGAGCTTTTTATACCACAGACTGGCAAACCCATTCACAAACATTTGACAGACCAGAAACATTTTATTTGCATATCTGAATATTTGTTTACATAAAGAATATACAAAGAAAATGTTACTGAACCACCAAAAGTTTGTGAATGGGTTTGCCGGTCCCCTGAAAAAAAGAAGGTTGGGAATTACTGCCTTAGGGTACATCTACATAGTGGTGCTATTTCAGGGTAACATCCTTTATCCCGAAATAGCATTCTGTACATCTTAATAGCATGTCCGTTATTTCAAAATAATGGGCTTTTTATTCCAGCTTCCTGTAAAACTAATTACACAAGGATTAACGAAGATGCCGGAATAGTGATTTATTTCAAAATTAGCACTGTGTAGACAGCACCAAATTTCAAAATAAACTACTTTGAAATATGCTATGCAATATGTGTAGCTCAAATTGAGTAGCTTATTTCAACGTATGTGCTATTGCGTAGATGTACACTTACAGATGGATGAAATATGTAGATGCTATCATGAGTTTTTATGGGCACAACCCACTTCTTTAGATGAAAGAGTTAAAAGGAAAGATTGAATGGCTAAGGAAGATTCTGCTGAATTTGCTTCTAGTCCATTGGTAGAAGAATTTCACAATCAGATGTTTTAACAGATGTAAATGGATTTCCACTGAAAAATGGTAGACTTTGGCACAGAGAAACAGGATAAAATAAAACTAAATTGTTTTATTAAACTAATCACTGGTTAAGGAGGCTTGGAATGACTCAAAAATACTAGAGTTAAAGAGAAGAAGCGAGCAAAAGAGAAGGGGCTTTGTGCTTCTTAGAGTTAGAGCTTTATTTATAAACTAGAAGATTTACCTGGTGTTGTTCGAGTCCTTAACTCAATTAATTTTGTGTTTTTCTTCATTTAAATTATTGCTCTGGGGTGGGGCTAGGGATGAGGACAGCACAGCCCTCTCTCACCACAGCAGCAAGAGGTAAGAAGCTCCTCTCCATGGCTGCTGCAGCTTGTCACGTTATTGGGTTTTATAATGAGTAGACTGAACACTTCTGTACCCATGGGGGGGGGGGGTTTGCCCCAAATTCTGTACAAAGTGGGCCATGTGAGGTGTCAAATGAACGCTTATGTCCCATTGATTCTATATATGCTATTCATGTACTTGTGTGATGTTTGTATGTGGATTTATGAATATGGACTCTGTTTTGGTACTGTGAATATTCTCTGTCTGAGACAGAGAAATGGCCTGGACTGCCTGTTGTAAGGAAGGAATGTCCAATTAATGACTCTGCTAACTAGCATGGCATCAGGAACAATCACCCTCAAAGAGCCCAATACAAACCTGAAGAATGCGTCTGGAAACCTGCAACCAGCCGTAATGGAGGGCATAATGGAGGTGGGCATGTGGAACAGAGACAGGTCACTCCAGCTTGGGAGGTACCAGGAATGGATATAAAACGCCATGAGGCAGTCTCCGTCTTGTCGTCAATCTTGCTACTGATCCCAGATGCAGCCTTACTAGGGACAGAGAGCTGGGAAGGATTGCTGACCCATCCCGAGATAGGATGTACACCAGAAACTTCTAAACTAGCCGTTTGTTACATCTCTGCTAAGAGCCAGCATCAAGAACTTGGTGACTGATGTATGTAATGTATTCTTCTTAATCTTATTCTCAACTTTTTCTTTCTTTTATTAATAAACCTTTAGATTCTAAAGGATTGGCTCAGCGTGATCTAAAGCGTAAATTGACCAGGGACTGTGGCTGGTTCTTTCAGACTGGGAGGATCTGTTTGGAGTAGGTGAGATCGGGTTTTATAACCTCTCACCTGTGTGTAAGGTCCTGGGCTGATTGTGGCACAGGGAGAGCTGGGGTGTCCAAAGGCTTTTGCTCATGAAGCTTCCTGCTGGCTGGATTGGCAGCTGAAAAGCTCTATGTGACTGGTTTGTGACCTATTTTGGGAAAGGTCTCCAGTTGAGGGCTGTAAGTAGCCCTGGTTTTGAGCAATTCGCCCTGAGCTGATGCCCTCAGGGGTGCCAGACCCAGCCTGGTCCATCATACAGCTCTAGTTGGCACAGGTGAGGGAGAGGTGAATGTCACCCAGCTGGGGCAGATCCAGGTTGGTTTGCCCTCTTCAGTCCCCATTTAGAGTTAGAAATGCAGCAAACTCTGCACTTTTCCCTTGCTCCCTGACAAAAGATCAGCCAGTAGTGTTCCTTATGATTTTTATTTGGCCACTTTTTCGAAAAGACCCTGTAGTCTAGACATAGCCATGGAGAACAAATTTCCTTAATCTCTTTTGAAATTTCCAGCCAAAATTTAATTTCACAAACATTATATTCAGAACAAAACATTAATTATATTAACTATACAACTAATTTTTCATGCCTGTTTAGGATATACTCATATAACATGAATTAAAGCAAACAGTTGTCCTTACCTGTAAAATGTTTTATGAACTTGTCTTTTAAATTGGAATCTCTTGGAAATATTTCTGAAGAAAAAAATATACAAATATTACTTTTATTACAATAAACTGAGAATAATATGCAAGTAAATATTCCATGCATGCATTCAAGAACCTCCCACATTAGTAAGCATTCCCAGTTTAATAGATATGGTAGTCTATATTCAATATTTTTTCCACATAATTTATAAGTTGATAGTTTAATGCCAGAAGGAACCATTACAATCTTCTAGAACAATATGCATAACAGTCCATAGAATTTCACCAAGTAATTCCTGCATTTATAAAATCGATAACTTTTGGTTGAGCCAGACCATATATTAGGACTGCCGAGCTAAACCATAAGTATTCAAGTACCCCAGTGATTGAGGACGCATAAAAAAGCTAGATAAATGCAAGACAAATAGAATATGTTATATACCTAAAACTTGTAGCTTCAGAGGAAGGGGAAAACACTCTATAATTCACCTAGGCCATGAATAAATTCCCATTAAATTAAAAGGAACTTTCCCACTGATGTCAGTGGAAATTAGAAGGGTGATTTTGTGGATAAAGTACCAGATGGGAGTTTCAGGAGAGCTAGGCTGTTTCCTCAGTTGTACCCCACAGAGGGTATGTCTACACCACAGCGTTAATTCGAGTTAACTTGATTCAAAATAGTTAATTTGAATAAAGCTAACTCAAAATAACGCATCTATACTCAAAAACTATTTCGAAATACCATTTTGCTATTTCGAAATAGCGCGTCGACACTGAGTGGACCCTGAACTGAAGTTAAGGCTGGCTAGAACCAGTGCTGGCAGAGCATCAGGTTACGAGTTAGCCTCAGGCAGCAGCCCCACACACTATCTAAGCTCCATGCTTAAAGGGACCCTACCCCCACCCCAGACAGACATTTCTCAGGGTTTCCCGCTTGCTTGTCTACCTTGATGAGGGACAGCAAAGCAATCCTGTCTTGGAGTGCCCTGAGTGCCCGCACTCGGGACACCACAGCACTCGGCCACATGGAGCCAGAGCTGCCCCTGGTCATGCCAGTGCATCTCATGGGGTTGTTGCCATCAGCCCAGCTGCACTTGCTGCAGGCTGCCAGCTAGGGGGCCCATCAGGGGGCTGTCAGGATCCAGGAGGCCTTGTGGGAGAGTGTCCACCCTGAGGAACCCTTAGAGCCTCCCCAGTCCTCCCCAACGGTCCTCCCCACTGAGGGCTTGTGCCGCATTCCTCCCTCACATCCTTCCACTTACCCCTCGTTAGCCCCCCTTCCTGATGTCAAACAAAAGACACTTATGTTCAAAAAAAGAAACTGTGTTTATTGAACAAAACTGGTGGTGGGGAGAATGAATCTCTGGGGAGACCGGGAAAAGGAGGTGGGAGAGGGGAAGAGAAAGGGTGGGAGAGGGGAGGGGGAAACCTGGGAGGAGGGAGCTGGAAGGGGGAAGCAAGGGTAAGAAGGGGGAGGGGAAACTCAGGGCCCAGGGTTGGGGGCGTCTCGCGGAACCAACTTGATTTTCATGAAAACCTGCTCCTAGGTTTGCATCTGGACTTTGGTGGCCAGGCTGGCAGCCATCCACCTGTAGATGGCTGCATTCCTCCGTCTAGTGTGGACATCATGGACATTGGGGGCATCCCCCCCAACCTGAATAAGGTCTATGATCTCCACTCTGGACCAGGAAGGCGCCTGCCTTCTCCAGCCCCTGTCTAGCTCCCGGGAGCTGGCAGACTGCTCCTGGGGAGCGGTGGAGGGCTAGCTGCCAGTGGCTTTTTGGGGACTGAGCTGCTGGCTAATGAGCTGGGGACACTGGGTCAGGGGCTCTGGTGGCCACTTCTGGCTCTGGGCTGGCAGGCTTGGAGCTGGCACAGGCACTGTGGCCACGGTCTACCCCTTTAATGGCTCCGGGGCTTGGGGAGAGGAGAGTAAGTTTTCCTGGTTGTGCCCAGAGTGGCCACCAGAGCTCCTTGGGAAGGGCTGGAGGCCCTCTATTTCGAATTAAGTGTCTACACAGCATTTAATTCAAAATAGCTATTTTGAATTTGTCGTTACTCCTTGTAGAATGAGGTTTACCAAATTCGAATTAAGCGCTCCGCTATTTCGAATTAATTTCAAAACAGCCGTTTGCATGTATAGATGCTATTAAAGTTAATTTAAAATAACAGCTGTAGACATGCCCAGATTATTTCAAATTAACTTTGCAGATTGACATTCCCTCTGTGTCCCATCTTTTTGTCTTGTCTAGATGCACTGTGAGCTCCGCAAATCAGGAATTGTTTTCTATTCTTTTTTAACTGTCCTTAGCATCATGGAGCCCTGGGCCTTGGTTGGGCTTTTCCAGGCTACTTTAATATAAATAATAAATATCAATAACTGGACTAAGATTCACACATTAGAGTCAAATTCCCAGCTCTACTACAGACTTCCTGTGTGATGTGGACAACTTATTATCTAGTGCCTCAGTTTCTCCATCTATAAAAATGAACAAAAATACTTTTCTTTTGTGAGAACAATTTTTTTAATGTGTTTGGTACCCAGAGGCTTACTATAGCAATGAGCCATATTAGCAACCAAATGAAGTTATTTTCCTCATACTTAAAAAAAGCCAAAGGAAAAAAAAAATCAGCCTTCTATATTCAAGGAAAATTATATAAAGTGGCTAAATCCTCAGAAATATATAATGAACAGAGGCTTAGAATGGAAATGCTTTTGCCACTTCAACTATATTCAGCGTGTAGCTGATTTTTTTTAATTGGAGTTAAATTCATCGTATAATAACTTTCAGTATTTTAAAATATGTATATTGGACACAAGATTTTTTAAGATTTCCTTATGTATTATACTGAACTCCATTATTCTCTTCCTACAACAAAACTTCATGTTCACATTCTGCATTCCAAGGTCTGGATTATAGACCATTATATTGTGCAAGCCTCTAGTGATCATTGCATACAGTGTTTACTTTTGCAAATATTGTGTAAGTGGACTTAAATAAATTATTATTCAATCAGAAAGCAAGGGATATTTCACTCTATTATATGACCAAAAATTTTCATGTACAGCTGTTTAGTTTCATCCTATTTCCTTTTTTCACAGGCAAAATGCCTGTGAAGGTGGTTTTGATTTTGTGGTTCTATTGAAGCCAAATTAATTCCATTACTAAGGAATAGTTTGGAATTATTGTGTTTTAGTGTATTAGTTGTATTTTTTATATTACGCTAGTTTAGAGGCCCCCAGACTGCATAACTGAGAGCAGTAATGAAAATTTGTCAGAAGCTCAATGGATATGCCAATCTTGCCTATAAAGGAACATACTTTTTATGGCTTTTACACAAATTTCCAGAGTAATCACTTCTATTTTTGAATCCCTCTTTTGAAATACTTAGCATTTTCTTTGCTTACTCCTCTCTGAATGATAATCTTATGAAAATATAACTTTAAGAGTATCTACCCTAAAAAGAACCAAATGTTTACAAGTCAGGTCTCTGGACTTATTTCCACATATATGGACTTTAATTTTTCACAACTATGAAATCTGAGGAACATTTTTCTTCAAAAGATTATTTCAATTCATAGTACTGTTTATTATATTACATTTGTTGATGTTATTATTTAACTAAAAAAGGCAATGTAAAAAAAGAATTTGCAGAAATCTTATGCTTAATTTGGATTGTGCTTGTTTGTGGTTTAGGAATAAAACTTGTAAATGGGCAAGAAAATATCCTGATTTGAAACACACTAGGACATGCTCAATAGAAAAATTCTGTAGCTCTCTCTGTCACAACAGAAATTCTGCCTTCATTTGGATGGGGCTTTTCTTTACCAAAAGCATCCCATAATGTTTAGAGAGCTCACAGATTAAGATAATATTAGAATCCCAAAATGAAACAAAATTAGTGTGAGACTGTGCAGATTTTGCTACACCAAGTTTTTAAAAAGTATGTAAATAGAAAGTGTTTCAATGCTAAAACTAATACCAATATATTTCCAATGTTAGCTAATTAATCATATCATTGACTGTGACAATTTAGAGGAATATTTCCTCAGCCACAATTTTGGAAATCCTGCAGACTCTCTGGCTACGTCTATACTGCAAGCCTCTTTCAAAAGAGGCTTTTTTGAAAGATACTTTCGAAAAATCTTCTTTAGAAAAAGAGCAACTAGACTACAATCAGTACTTTCAAAAAAGCAAGCTGCTTTTTCGAAAGAGAGTACCCAGGCAGTCTGGATGCTCTCTTTCAAAAAAGCACAGTTTGCATTACATAGCGCTTTTTTTCTAAAGAGGACTTTCAAAAAAAGGCGTTATTCCTCGTGAAATGAGGATTACTGCCATCGAAAGAAAAGCTGCATTCTTTTGATTTAATTTTGAAAGAATGCGGCTGTAGTCTAGATGCAGGTGCATTTTAAAAAAATTAAAAAGGCTACTTTTTTCGAAAAAACCCTGCAGTCTAGACATAGCCTCTGGTGGTGACCAAAGGGAAATACGTTGTACAGTTCTTGCTGGACTCTATGCAGACCTGTATGCCAAAACCCAGTTCTAATATCATATTCTGACCTGTAAAGTTCTGGCTGGTATCATATATTATGGAAACAGTCATCTCAGTTCCTGACTCAGTGGCTGTGGAGGTATGGAGGTATAGTTTGCCTAACAAATTAATGTACAATTTATTCAGGCAGTATTGATATGCTGTATCTCTAGGACAGACCTTTATGTAAGCATTTGCATTTCTTGCAGGCTGTTGGTAGGACTGTATTTTGAGTTTGTTACTGTGAAATTATAGTTATATGCCAGGTGAATTGTACAGATTGAACCAGAGCCAGCCCAAGCTACGGGGCTGCCTGACCAGGCGGGGGCAGGGCCGCGCATGTGCCGGGAGCCTGGGGCGCCCGAATGGTTCGTGCTGGCTCTGGGCTGAACCTCTCTTGTCTAACACTCTCGGGACCTGACTGGTGCTGAACCATGTGAGGTCTATATTGCCTAGCAGCATTATCAACACTTCCACTGCTAAAGCAGGCTCTTGGAAGACAGTGGGGATAAATTAGAG